GAGAGCTGCGAGTGTTTTTATTGCCACGAGCCAGGCCATTTGATCGCTGCATGTCCGACTCTTAGAAAAAAAGGACAACACAAAAACGGTAAACCTCCTGCAGGTGTGGGTTTCATTAACACCGTGTCCCCGCCTGTAACACTCCCGGAGTCTTTACCTGAAGCCGAGGTAAATGTGGAGGTTGACCCTCGTTTCAAACCGTTCGTTTCGCAAGGATTTGTTTCTGTAACTGGCGAGGAAGCGGATAAAGTACCGGTAACTATTCTCCGAGATACAGCCGCCTATCATTCATTCATTCTGTCTAGTGTTCTGCCGCTCTCAAATGAAACTTCATGTTTCTCTGATTTGTTAGTGTGGGGAATTAAAATGAGCGAACTTAACGCCCCACTTCACATGATTCACTTGCATTCACCGCTCGCGTCGGGGCGTGTGAAAGTTGCCGTGCTCCCACGGTTTCCGATTAGTGGCATTTCGTTGATTTTGGGTAACGATCTGGCCGGAGGAAATGTGTTTCCTCTGCCAGAGGTCGTTAACGATCCCATTTCGGTTGCGTCTGCCTGCTGCCCCACCTCTGTTTCTTCTGCTGTGTCTGTGCCAAATGTGTTTCCTGTGTGCGCAGTTACGCGCGCACAGGCTCGTAAATGGGGTAAAGCTGGGGATTTATCTGACTCGTTTATGGCTACATTAGATGAGGGTGAGCCCTCCTTTTCAGTGTCCCCCGCTACTGAGTGTGAAAATGTATCAAAATGTGTCTCTGAGCCTGATGTGTTTCCTGCTGACGCAGACTTGAGTTTAAACGTGACCCGAGAAATGTTGATAAGTGCTCAGAGAAATGATCCGTCTCTAAATTTGTGTCTGTCCTCTGTTGTAGCCGCCGAGGACGACAGCCAGACTTGTGTGTTTTTCGTGGACAACGGTGTCTTGATGAGACGGTGGAGTCCCGACTCCAGGGAGATACCCGTTGTTAATCAGGTGGTTGTGCCAACAGACTATCGAGCGCAAATTTTGAGTCTGGCACATGACTCCAGCTTAGCTGGCCACCTCGGTGTTAAAAAGACATATCATCGTGTGTTGCGCAATTTCTTTTGGCCTGGGTTAAAATCCATGATGCTCAAATACTGCCTTGAGTCCTACAGAGAGTGGGATGAGGGTCTCGTTCTTCTGTTATTTGCCGTGCGTGAAACTCCTCATAGAAAATGTAATAGCAGACGCTTTGTCGCGGTGTTCCTCAGATCCGTAGAAATTAAACATTTAGGGGGATGTTTAATTCTTGGGTGTGGGGGTGTTATGACTGGGGTCATAATTGGTTGAGTGTCTGCTGGGTGTGTGTGCTCTGTGTTTTTTTGTGTCAATCTTGTATGCAAATAGGTGTGTGCCACAGCAACGCGGTCATTGGTGGGATGGACTACGCCCTGTATGGTGATTGGCCGAGACCAACTATATCAAGAACCAAGATGGCAGCCACCATGTGCAGAGGCCAGGCGTTCCTCATCCTCCTCCTCTCCCAATCGGCCACCCTATTTTGCAGCTTTCGAACATGGTGTATTGTGTTGTGTTTTTCTTTAGTAGTAGGGGTGGACTGCCAGTTTTGTTAACCTTATTTTCTCCTGTGTATTTTAGTTAGGGAGGTAAGTCTTTTGTCATTTGTTTCCTTTGTTTTGGTTAGGGAAGGACTTACTACTCAGACAGGATTATTTTTGTTTGTTGTTTTGGCCTTGGTCCACCCTGAAGTCTAGTCATCCAGCCTTAGTTCTTTTGTCTATCTTTTGTTATTTACTGATTTATGTAAATAAATCTGTGTTTTAAAATTGAGCTGAAATCTCGGTTGTTGTGGCTACTTGGGACTTGGGGATGATGAGGCCTTCTCATGTTGTGCCCTAGGCACCCCTAGACTGGGGCGTAACACGGATCCTGTAGGTTTTTGGCTTTATGCAGATGATACCCAGCTTTACATCTTCACAAAAACCATCACTCCTGCCATTTTTTCCAACCTCACACACTGCTTTACTGATACTGAAAATAACCTGGATGAACCACCATTTCCACAAATTTAACTGCAACATATCAGAGGATGTCATCTCTGGTCAGAAATCAGCTCCTCCCAAGAATTCCTACTCAGTGTTTGGTTATACAGTCACATTCAAGGATTTTATAAACTCCCCCAGACAAAGACGGACAAGGTCCGACAGGTAAAAGAGGACGTATGGTTACCCTATTTTCAGAATAGATTCTTTATTGTATGTTCCTTTTAATATTACATTATAAACATTGAAAAAACAAACATATTGGGGAAAAGTTCAAGATGTCATCTGATGTCTTTGTCTGGTTACATCCTGGCAGTAGGGCATGACACCAGTATGGCAGCAGCAGCAGAGCTACAGCGCCGGGTTGTGTGATGACAACACCACAGCTTAAACATAACATATGACTAAAGAAAGGATGGTCCAGCAGCAGTGTGAAGGTGAACTCTTCAACAGAAATGTTGGTCATACAGAGGACATGCATGTTAAACAAACAAAGTTGTTGGTCACAATTTGAATACTACTTGTGTGTCTCTGTTGAAAACAACTTATCAAAAGTTCAAAGTTTCAGTTTGTGTGCTGTAGATATGAATACAGCATAAACATTAATTAGAGGTGGGAATGGTGGTCTCTTGGGGATGCAAGTTAATGTCAGCCTCCACTCCTGACTTCTCACACCTCTAAGAACTGGGAACTCATTACTGTTGACTCTACCCTAGCTTCTCCTCAACCAGGGAGCTCATTATTTTCAGTATTTTCATCAGCCATGTCTTTAGGTACTCATTTGACAATAAACAAATTAGTGTTGGGTCAAAAGATTGAGAAACACAAACATTTAGAAACATTTGGACAGTGTGATTAATTATTGAACAGCCACTTTCTTTCCATCACATCCAGGATATGTGCTCATGGTCAGCTGTGCCTTGTTGACAGTGATATCAAACACAGCTTTTGTTGAATAAACAGTTCTGTATCACTCCCATGTTAACATCTCACTGCTCAAAAGAGTTAGTTCTAAGAGATGTTTTTGATGGTGAAAATTTCACAAATAGAGAGTCGTACTTATGCATCACTGGAGTTTATCCTTGCAGGCCACTGTTGTTTCACGTAATCAGGGAAGTGAGTGAATCTCAAATCTGACCACCAGATATTAGTAAACATTATCATTTCCTATACACTGTACTTTTTGAACATAATCCCCACAGAGGTAAAGAAGATAGCAGGCCTTAAATGTTGTGTAACATGTAAATTATGGCTGAAGACAGTATCCCTGTAGACTGCTACTCAGTGTCCAACTAAAATTATTATCTTGTCCACTCACACAGATGAAAAGCTGGCTTTTGGTTTGCAATATTAGTGGGTAAGTTCTGAAAGAAAAAGAGAGCACAACATGACAAACTTCCTGTGTCTCTGCACGTCTTAAGCTTTTTGTCATTTTGTCACTTTTTAAACATTGGGGCAAAATCATTGTTTAGAGTCCATGAATGACTGAGCTATATGAACATATCATCTAAGAACACTCCCTCGACCATCCATCACATTTCTCAGTGGTCTTTGAGCACTGGAGCTTATTCCATACTCCTCTCACCTGCTTGCTCTCCAACTTGTAGTGTAATGAAAACTTTAGCGCACTAGAGGGCAGACTCCTGCTTTGATCCATGAAGCACCTTCTTAGAGACAGTCCTGTTAGAGCCTAGTGCTCAGACATATTTCTTCCTCTTTAGTCTGAGTTTTACCCAAATGTGTGTATAAATGTGCTCCAGAATAATGAATCAAATTTATGTTAGAACTTTATCTGAAGAGGTTCGAGGAAGCAAACTCCAAACACTCAAGTACTGCACTTAAGGAGAATTTTGAAGTATCTACAATGTACTTCAGCATTCATTTTCCCAGATAGATTTGTACTTTTCTCCTTCTTTCTCGCATCTCTTCCTTGACTTTTCTCTCTTCCAGTCTCTCTACCCTAATGGGAGATAGGGGCAGGCAGAGCATACAGTCTAACCGGAGGTTGAATTCTGGCCCCAGAAGGCCTCTTGCCCCTGTCCTCCTTGTATCATCTTTCCACACACTCTTTTCAGTTTTTTCTCGTGTCATTTCAGTTTAGTGTGAGCTAGTATAGTAAGCTTTGCTCTTGGTCACAGGAGCTAACTCTCTTGTTGGCCTACCTCAGTGGTTCTCAAGTCCAGTCCTCGAGCCCCCCCGTCCTGCATGTTTTGGATGTTTCCCTGCTCCAACACACCTGATTCAAATGATCAGCTCGTTATCAAGCTCTAAAATGGCTGAATAACGAGCTGATCATTTGAATGAACCACTGGCCTACCTTAACAAAACAACAGTGATGGGTGCCAATTTGATAATTTCTGGTGATGGGCTCTGTGGCAGGCCATACAACTTGTTAGTAAAAGATTAATGTGGGATGAGGACAAAATAGGTACAAATGGTTGTTCGATTAAGGGTTCATTGTTTAGTTTGAGGACAAGTACATTTCTGTTATTTGAAACTTTTCACACATTTTTTCTTCCAATCAGAATGCTGGAAGCTTATTTTGTATCTTATTTTTATAGTATCAAGAATTCACTAGCGAAAAATTTTAACAGTAAAATGGTTTTTAGACCTTTTTAATTAAGGGTGTCACATGTAAAAATTATTTTCTTTCCATGCCACTGAACATGATGGCACTCCTGCTCTTATCTCTTGCTGTGTTCATTTTTGAGTAGAAAAAAACCCTCATCTTTTTCACTTTGCTGTGTATCATAAAGGGAGAGTTTTTACAGTGAAAAAGGTGTTTCGAAAACAGGGCTGTTTCTCCTGCTTTCACTCTTCTGGTGTAACACCTCCCCCTCATGGCAATTCTGGCTATTTCAAGTTAAAACAGTGAAATTATCGGCCTTGTTGCTGAGGAGGAATTAACTTTAGTCTCAGTTTGTTTCTCAACATTTCAATCTAATAAACCAAAAGAAAAAACACATGAAAGCAGTGATTGATCAGCATTATGAATCATTTTTCATAACTCTTTATTTAGCCATAAATAAACACCGTCCCTCAAAAATGAACAGTCTGTGACAGCCTTGATAACATGAGGAAATGAAAACATAAATTTCAGATTTTTGGTGGGTAAAACCATCTGGTAAAGTATTGCTCTTTCCACAGAAAAGATATTTTTTGGCTTGCCACAAGCTTGAGGAGTAAATTAAAGTTCACAGCATGAACCATCAGTTTTTAACACAATTCCAACACAAACCAGGATTTCCATAAAATGTTCTCAGTCGATGAAAATCAAGATGAAAGTACAATGTTTTGAGTTCTGTTTTTAGCTTCACCACTGGGAAAGGTTGGCAGAGCAGCAGAGCATCATGTTGTTACATCTCAGCACTTTCTGAAGGTGGTTTAAAACAGATGCAAGCCTCTCTTGGGAAAAACTTTCTGCCTTTGTTTTGAATTTGTAGAGAGTAAGCCTGAAACAGCATGATCATGTTGCTGCTCAGAGCTTCCTGGTTCCTGGTCTTGTTGTGACCCTGTATACATTGAACCAGCTCCTATTGAGACTATTTGGTCTGTTTCTGTTGGTTTTTGTGTAATATGATGTGCATGACAGGCGTCCCTCATCAAGAGCTTTCCTAGCACTAAAGGTGTGAATCACCCTGAATGCTCTTCTTTAATCATGAAAACCAGGAAACTGTTTGTTGTACAGGAGCTTTGTGTACTGCAGTTCTGGAGTTATAAGTTTCTGACACTTGTTTCTCATTTGAATGTCTGTCAGTGGGTTCAGGTTATAGCCCTGAATTACAGCTTTCCCGCTCTGGTACGGCTTCATTCGAACATCTTTCACCTTAGCCGGGTGGACAGCTCCGCCATCCTTCAGGCAGGTTTTTGCAAGTTTCGCCTGTAATTCTCTGAGGGCATCTACTTCCCTCTTCACCTGCTCTGTCCCGATCAGACTCTCCACTCTGTGCCAGAAGGTGGCGTTAAAGTGCAGGTAGATCCTCCAGTCCAAAGCATTCCACCTTTTGATTTTCTCTGCAGTGACAGGTAAAGGCGGCTGTCGAGATCCTTCTGAGCGACTGTTGAGTTTAAAGTAAACCACGTCTTCAAGTGACCAGCAGAGGGTGTGCTTGAGCAAGATCATTGACTCATCAAAGTACTCAGAGATGAGAATAAGCTGGAAGTCTCGTTCGATGGCTGCAACAGCCCTGCGGGCTCTCTCCTCCAGGTCGCTAGAATCAGCTGTTACGTTGTTTTCGAGGCCGAAGTCGAAGGCCAGGACATTGTGAGCGTAGTGGTTAGTGGACACAGTGGATACCTGGTTCCTCAAGCTGTTGTCCAGAAAGTTGTCCATGCTGAAAGACTTCCTGAAAACTGGGATGCTCTTGTAGTAGGTATAAATGGACTCCATCATGACCACAGGGTGTCTCAAGATGGAGAAGTAGAACGTTTCTTCAGGCATGACTTTGGCCACCTGAGACATAACATAGAAAGACAATTATAATAGAGAGGGGCAGACAATCTTTGCACTCATCAAATGCTTATTTTTGTCTTCTGAAACCTCTGAGGAATTTTACATAGCTCTGAACTTCTTATTAAAAATCATACTTCTGAATGTGTGGCAGTTGCAAAGTCATTTTCTGAATGGACTTAAAGGGATAGTTTGTCTTTTTAAATGGAGTTGTATGAGATACTTCTCAATAATAAGAGTATTAACCACAGGAGATCCTGGTCAGCTCATCTTCTTTATTTAAAGATTGGTGGTAGAACCATAACTGCAACTAGACTACTGACAACAGCAGATGGAGGGGGCAGGCGGATGGAGATGCAGGTGCCAGAAAAAGTGATGCTCTATTTGGGATATTATTTAGTGTTCCACTTGGCTGTCAGGAAGCCTGTTTGTTTTTTGCACGAGGCCTTGACTTTGCAGTGCTCTTTCTAGCTGTTAAAGTCTGCAGACTCCAAAGGGGCCAAAAATACAACCAAACAAAAAAAAAGTGATTCTCACAGTGATGATGACAAGCTGAACACACAAGAGTGGACACTTCTATGAACCAGAGTTTAGAAAGAAGAATAAAATTCATTAGAGTCAAAGGCTTAGAGAAGATATTCTGTGTTAGTTGAAGGATCCCAGGTTACCTGATGGTTTTCAGACAGCGCTCTTAATCTGAAGTTTAATCACAGCCAAATGCATCTACAAAACTTCAAAGTGTTCATTCAGAAGAGCTCACCTCTGACTTTATGAACCTCATGTGGTTGCACATGATGTGGAACTCCTTCACATTTCGGCCCACGGCTCCTTCCACAAAGCGTTCAGCAAAGAAGTGTGGGTAAAACAGCTGCATTTGTCTTTTTACAGGGAGGGCGAAGGTCAAGTTCCTGCTTTCGCCGTAGCGATACAGGATATTTAAGATGGTGCTGCTGGCTGTTTTGTGAGTCTTTAGGAAAACAATGTGAGATTTTGGGAGGCAAGCTGTTTCACCACCAGCTTTTAGTGGACTGGATGGAGAGGGACTGTTACTGAGTCTTTGCTCTGTGTCTTCAGATAAATATGTCCCCACTCTCTGAGGGACCAGAGAATGTGAAAGATCAAGTCTCGGCTTGTTATCCAGTTTTGTTAAAAGCAGTCCCACTAATGAAAGTTTTCCTGCCTCACTCTGAGGCTCTGTTTCAAGGGGGACCATTTTATCCACCTGTCTGGACAGAACAGGATCTTGTGGCCTCCTGTTGTAAGAATCTGCAGTTCTGTTTTTTCGTAGTGTCTCCAGACTCTGGGTTCCCCTCAGGATCTCGGGGTCAAAGCTCTCTAAGATGTTCTGCAGGGTTGGAAACAGCTGCTGTTTGTTTGCTGTGAGGTGCTGAGGTCCCATCAGTTTGGCATGGCTGTAAGAAGTCACACATACAGTCAGCGTCATGTACTACCCTGAAGTATTTTAATCACAGTCACCCTACCTCTAAATTCAATTGTACACACAAAAGAGGCAATTTATCTGAAATTTAAAGTAGTGATATAGTTTATGGAATTACTGTGATCATGTTCATGATTTCCAGATCACTTCAAGCATCATTTGATTTTCATATCATGAGATTACTTCAGTTTATGTTTTAAAAATTTAAAACAGAATTTAAGGATACTGTCAACTGCAACATTATTACAAGGTTCAGAGCACTAAGAAACTGCACAAAAGAGACAAGGTTGAAATCCTTTACTGGATATAATACCTGCCGGCCTTCAGGCACTATTTTAATATTAAAGACAGACAAGACAGTATTAAGGATCAGAAATCCTGGACTCAAAATCACTTTCAAAATGCACTGTTTGTGAGCACAGTTGCTCACTGTATCAGAAAAACAACAAATGTTAATAAAAAAAACTGTAAACAATGTTTAATGATTAAGAGATGTCATGCCAAGTTAAAGATGGTGGTAAGTGGTTAACTGTCTGCGGTAAATCGGTTTGCAAGTGTGCAATTTCTCTGTGTTTTATTCTCTGTTATTACCTGATGCAGCAGTTTAAACAGAGCACTGGGTGTATGTTCAGGGCAAGTGAAGACAGGCTGCATAAGACATTATTTTTCTTGCTTTGGGCAGTAAACTGTGGGTGTTGAACTGTAAAAATCTTCATATTCAGCAAAATCTCATTATGGGAGGAAAAAAACAAGTACTCCATAAACACTGGAGTGTAAGTTTATCTCAGTTTGACATCTATCCATTTTTGAGTCCCCTTTTAGAGAACTTTCAAAACATAGAGATTAAATTTTAAAGTATTCCAGTTAATGGCCTAAGGTTTGTGCGTGCATGCTTCTGTGTGCGTGTGTGTGTGTGTAACTATACCCTGTCTGATGAGCAACGAAGATCTGGATGGCGATGCAAATGATGAGGATGATAAGTAAGACCCACAGAGAAGGACGTCTGCTGCAAAGCCATCTCCCCACACACCTGCAGAGGGCAACCACACACACACAGATACAAACATACACAACATAATATAATTATGTCCCAAAGGTTTTTTTTTATTAAAGTTCATTTCACCGGTCCTCTAGGTTTGAGAGATTACCTTAGACTGCGAGCAAAAGGTTATAGGCTGATAGTTGGAGAGTGTTAAAAAAGTATGAGTGGGCTGGTGATGTTCCAGCTCCAGCAGCAGGAGGACTGCTGAACTGGATTTTAGAAAAGTCTCCTGCTGGCACAAAATATGGAACTTCTCTGGAGAGGTTCTGACATGATTTTAAGACAATTTAAAGCACGACCATAAAGGGGCATTAAAATATCTTACTGGTAACAGGCTAGTCCCTTCTTGTAGGATGTTAGACAGGTCGTCAGGTATGCAAGCATGCAGAAACACACACACACACACACACACCTTTTTTAAACAGCCCCTAAAATGGGACATAATCCAGCCTGGGTTCTGTTGTCCAAATTCAAAAAACATGAAAGATTGGATTCATCATCTGAACATTTTTTTAACATTTTTACAGTAAATATGATCCTAACCCAGAGACAAAGAAGTTTCAGGTAGTATTTTAAAGCATTGTGCACATTTCTTACTCTAACTAAAAAAAAAAAGGAGCTGAGGTATTTTGAAATAAAAACGTTCCAGCTGATGCAGAGATTTTGACAGCAGCACTGTGAGCAGACTTGGCGGAGCGGAGGTAATGAACACTCACTCAGTTTCTCAGTCAAAAGTCTTCCAGGAACTCGAGCTGCCTCTGGCTGAAACAATATATCAAACTATGATGGAACGGTTTTTCCATTTTAATACACTTCAGAGAACCACAGGCTGTGTTCATAGTCTCCACAACAAACTCTAGCGAGCAGAGAATCTTTATCTATAACAAGCATGAGTTTACTAATTCAGATTCTTACCTTATATCAGATTGTTCAACTTTAGGTGGAACCAGGTTAGGATAAGTTTTAGTTATTTGGATGCCTCTGAATTATAAATTATGTACATAAAACTGACTATAACTGTTATGAGGATCTATAGGTTTGGTGAAAAATAATTTGTTGTTCTGAATACATATATTTGGATCTAAATAAATAATGAATAGTATATTTCATCAATAATTTGAGGTTTAATAGGAGGAGCATCAGTCTCACCCTGAGGTCTATTTCGTTTCTGTTTTAAAGACATAATAGTTTCTCGCACTCGTCATTGTATTGAACTGTTGCAGGACTTGGGATCAAGTCAAGCTGACTCAGAGGGGAGGCTGATTTCCATAGAACTGTAAAACTCCTGACTTTGCCCTCAGGCACAACATGACATTGAATATCAAAAGTCATCAGATCCTGTATGTCACCAATTTATACTGATACAATTATTGAGTCTCCTCAATGATCCGAGCCTCATAGCAGAAGCTGGAGAACTACAACGGCCTGAATAATCTTTGTTGGGAGGATCATGCAAATCCCAAACCACCCAAATTCACAACGCATGCCAAACACAATCTTCTCTCTCCTGTAGATATAAAGTTGTTTCACTTGACACCCCCACAGGCCTGGAGCACGTCCATTATTAAGTCTCAGTTTGCAGCATTTTACTTTTGCAATTGTGTTCTGCTTTGTGTGTTTTTGACTTTGTATTGTTTGTGTATTTACAGCTAGTTTGCTAATACAAAGGTTTTGGTATTTTGCAGCATGTTTTTTTCATTTGTGGTGAGTTTCCACTGTTGCATTTGTTTTGTGTGAGAATTTGCATCACTTGGGTGTTTGCAAATCACCATCCTTTGTCAGCCACCTTTATTCAACCATCAAGTCCTATCTGTTATTTGGTAAAAGGCAAGGCTTTTTAACACAGAGAAGAATTCCCTCCTTATGTACCTTTGTTTGGTGTTTCTTTACTTTTAGGCTTTTAAACCTAGAAGGTGTAAAAATCATCTCACTCACATCATCAAATATGAAGCAGAGTTTCCCGTGTATATGGGTTGAAGTCTGAACCTTAAGTCAAATATTCTTACAAGAAATTAAAGTCATAACTGTATTTCTTAGTTTGCAAACCTAAACATTTTTACCTGATAACACCATGAAATGGGATTTTCTGGCTTGAAAAACAAAACAAAAAATCATTTTTTAACCAACTTAATTGTAAAGATTTTAGAGTTTTTTGGTTCATTTCGATTAGCTTGAGCTGAACTTAGAGTTTGCTCATTGTTCTTGTGAACTTAAACAACACTAGGTCAAAGGTAATGGATGTTGGTTGAATTTGATGCACTTGGCAGTTTAAATTTTTCCAGGTTCTCCATTTACTGTATTTTTTTTCGCTCCTGCTTCCTCCACCTCTTCTGCTTGTTAAAGTGCGGCTAAACTTGAGGCCTCTTCACATGTTCAGCACATCCTCAAAAGCAACTGACCACCACAGTTCCTGTCACTGGTTCAACCTGTGATTTCAGGCTGCATTAGAGGATCTGGGAGAATGAAAGTAGACTCGATAAGCACAAATGTCAGTGATTTTCAGGTTCTGGAAAATCAAAAAAACAAAGTCTTAAAAAGAACTGGGTTTGATTCCTCAACAAACACTGTGCAGGTTCAAACAGGTATTTCAGCTCCCATATTATAACTTAACATTTGAAAGAGAAGAGTAAGATGACAAATTTCAAACCAACATCATCACACATTTAACCCTTTTTAACCCTAGACTCTATTTAGCCGATTGACCCCACCAACATTGACATCTTCCCCAGTTTATTGTAATATGGAGAATATAGTGTATTGTATATCCCATATCTATCACAATATTTCAAAGGTCATAAATGACTCATTGAGATTTATTTTTGTTGTTGGGGCTGAAAGAGAGTTTTACACAAGTTTCTCCACCAACAGAACTCCACGACTTAATTCCCGTCAGAGGTTGTCAGAGGTTAGTGAACAATAACATGCAAATATACTAAGCCATTGTACACCCACTCAGTGGGTGTAACGAATGTGACCCACTTATCATGACAGTGTGTGCATGGCCTCCATATCTGGATGTGAGTATTTGCATTCAGTCACCAGATTATTACTGGTCGTCAAATGTAGATAAAAAAACCTCTGGCCCTAAAAGTGCATATCTGTGTTCATTGACTGTTGTATCTGGTGCTAATTTGATGGTTTGGTTTAAGTGTCTATAAACAGCACTCATTCTGTGGCCTCAGCTCACAATAAAAACCACAGGGGAAAAAAGGAATGACTTGGAGCCAAAAATATGAACTCCTATCAACAACCATTATAACATTTTGAGGTGCAGACCGCTCATCACTCAGGCCACAGTTTTTGTTTTGTTTTGTCAGAACAATCATTGAGCTGACAGCAGAGGGAGATAAATCATTGAACACCATGTATAAATCATGTTTATTATTTCATTCACAAACATGTCCTGCCTTCATCAAATGGTTTGATAGCTTCTAACTCAAAAGACTTTATCGAGTATTGATCAAATCGCCAGTGAGATTACATCTCTCACTGTCTGGATGATAAAGAGGGTGGGCAACAGCTGCCATATAAAGAGGTCTAAGAAGACTAAAAACAGCCAAACAAAGTGTAAAATCTCTTTAGATCTGGACTTTACTACCACAGGAAGACTTGGCAAAATCTGGCCACTTAAAGAAGTTTTCACTCAAGGCCGTTCCCTGAAGCGAGTCAATCTCTGTATAAACCGTGTCATCTAAGACGTGTCTATACATTTTGGCAATGGAAGCAGCATTTAGAAGAGTAAGCAAGCCTCAAACACTAAATACAAACTCTAAGCAGCATCAAGATGTCTTGTGTGTGATCAGTTGACCAGAATCACAACCATTTCAGAGCAATCAGTGTTGTAGTTTTGTTTCCCTGCTCCAACACACCTGATTCATATGATCAGCTCGTTATCAAGCTCTGTAATGGCTTAATAACGAGCTGATCATTTGAATCAGGTGTGTTGGAGCAGGGAAACATCCAAAACATGCAGGACAGTGGGCCTCGAGGACTGGACTTGAGAACCACTGGTTTAGAGAATGGCCCTTAACTGAGGCCACATTTGAAGACAAAATTGTGTCACAGCAGGAATATCAACACAGGGCTATTTCATGAGCTGCACGGCTGACACCTACACCCCCACAGCAGTTTTCAGCATCAAAATTAAGAGCATAAAAATGGTCAATCTTAATGCGGATTGTCTTTTATGCTTTTGTATATCATAAAAAAAGCATCAGTATGAATTTCAGTCTGTTTCATAAACATCAAAAACTCCTCACAGGAGCTTTAAGGCTTGAAGTTCTGTGTGATTAAAGGGTGCGGCCACATGTGACAGCAAGGTACTTAAAGCTGTATGTCAGGTGTCACTTCAGTTAATTCTACTACACTACGTTGAACACCTTGTTTAAACACAATAAAATTTTGACATTGTTTTATTTGTATTCTCATAATAATAAGCATCTACCTGTGTCTTTGCTCGGCATACCTAGATTGTAAACTCATTCACTGTTTGTCAAACACTGATTTATTTGTGGCAGCCTGTGTTTGGGAGTCAGGGTTGTTATTAGCATTTCAAAAAAAACAAAAAAAAAAACAGCAGTCTCTCATCATGAGAAGAAGTTTGCAAGTTTGTGATATTTATCTGCTCCGAGCTAGCAGTGAGTCCACTATGTTTCAAGAGCTTTATGATCTTACGTGTGACATACAAACACCAATGTTCAGCTGCAATCATCAGATGTTTGGCTAACCAATCAACCATGAGCACAGAGTGTTTAGCTTTCAGAACCTAACCTGCTCCCTCCCTCCTCTCTCTTATTTTTGGTCACATCTGGCTCCAGAAAACCAAGATGGCAACCAAGAATGTAGGTGCCAAACCACAACAGCTATAATCAGTATGGGATCTGCACCCACACACAGGGTCTATTGTTGTTTCTTTCCAATCTGCAGGATTGTTTTTGTATTGTATGAACATGAACAGAAATCTCTTGCTGCCATACAGCAAAACAAACATACAGAGACCCAACAACAACCCCATATGTAGTGAAGACTTTTCAGAGAAGTTCTGCTTTGACATCATGCCTTATAAGGTCAGAGGTCAGAGAGTGTCTGCAGAAATCAGGACTTAATGAGAAGGAAGTTAGGCCAGGGGCTCCTCAGAGTTACAGACACATCTGGAGCCTTTTCCTCCTCTTCTCCTCCTTTTCCTCCTCCTCTGCAGCCCTCACACATGAACTTTTAACCCCACTGTGTCAGTTCAGAGGTTGCTGTCTCTCTGTGTTACAGAAAAATCCCAGGCATTTCTTTGCCTGCAGCTCAGTGTGATGCAGAGCAGTGTAAGCACAGATCGATGTGTGTTTTAAACACACTGATGTATCCTCACAGTTGGGTCACAGAAATCAAATGAGTCATCTGCTTGCTGGACTGAATGAATAGGCTGCCACAGATATGGGAAGATTGTCACATTTACATTTACATATACATCAGTTCTGATGTACATCAGCTCTGATGTAAATGTAAATTTAAAAACTGAACTGTGAACGCTGATGAAGTCAGTTCAGGATGAAGTCTACATACCTAACTATCACAGTATGAAAACAGTCAGAGAATAAGACTGTTAACACACACACACACATTTACCGCAGATGTTTCAAGAATTTCTATTTCAAGGTCACAAATTTTATTCTAAAATGCCAGGAGAGGGAACCGTGAATGTCTCCTCATGATCTTCATAATGAAATGAAATTATCCACAACAAGGCAGGACATTTCTTGATACTGAATAATAGGGCCTATGTTTTGGACAGATGTTCTTTTAAAGGCCTGATTGAAATCCAGCACTCACCCTGAAGTGTTTATGTTTCAGAATTTCCAGCTAAATGTGGCAGTAAGGAGTAAGTTAGTACGTTTTCATAATATTTTCTTTTAATATTGTTCAGATACTGGAGCTCTAACCATAACACCAGAGGTAATGTTAAATTCAATCACCTTTTTTGGGCTGACTACATTTATAATCAGAGATTCTAAAAGTTCTATTATTCTTATGTAACAGCAAATACTTTTATGGGGCTTCAAATTGTCTAATTATCTCATCACTCTGCATCCTGCAAAAAGTTATCTCGAACAAGTCTTGAAAACAAATGCACACTTTGGCAAAAGCCTTATCTTTATGAGGGGGGTGATGGTGCTGATAAGAAACGCTGTCTTCAGGACTAACACAATGGAAAAGCACCTTAAAACGCCTTTAAATTAGCCACAGAAAAAAGACCACTTTCAAAAAGCAGGTTTTTGCATCCCGCCAGAATGCAGACGCCTTTACAGATGGGTTGTACTGATCCTTTCTGTAAAGGTCACGAGAACAAAGGCTGATTGATACTCTGTTTGACTATTGCGACTGCAATGTGCGCTTTCATAACAGTCACATCCCATGAAGTATGATGTCAGCGATGCGAACTGAAACACAATATGTTGTTTCCACATCTTTGTTTTCAAGGATTAATAATGTTAGAGCTGCTGTGGGAGGGCAGGACACTGTGAGGCCACAGTAGGTGAAAGACGATTTGAAAGCAGAAAACAGACTTGAAAACTGGAATAATAAAAGGTATAAATACACTGCATTTATCTGGTATTCTGGTAATTTTTTAATTTTTTTATATTTCTACGTAGTGAAAGTGCATATTACAGAAGAGAAAATGTAGTTTAATCGGGCAGTCCTAATGACTGGTCCTGGATGCTGCAGAAACACACTGATCTTATCAGTGGAAAGATGGTCTCACGGAGTGAGTGGATTTTATACCAATCTTATTTACTTGCTTGCCAATATATCTTATTTATTTGTTGGTTTTTTTGTATGAAAAAACAAACAAGTAAGGTGTGAATGTGTATGTTGTGTGTACCACTGCTGTAAACAATTGTAATTTCCCCACTGAGGGATGAATAAAGGAAAATCTAATCTAATCTAACCAAGTCTATACATCATGCTATCATGCTGTTCTACTTTTTGAGTTGATATTACAAGCTCAACAATATCACTTATTGTTACTCTGTCTTTTATCTGCCACAGTCACTTCCTAGTAACTCCTTGTCATTTTCACTGTCTATCATTATTGCTACGCCTTTGCTTTTGCAAGGCAAGTGGAACTAAGTAAACAGCACTAGTGGGGAAATGTTAAGTTTTAAAGCAAGTGTTGCCAATGGCTCAAGCTATTCCAGTCCAGTTGTGCATTACTGTTGATGCAGAACCAGCACAATGTGAGCAATCCACTGTTTGCCAGCAGAATCGCCCAAATTGAATCCAAAAAGTCTGAAGGTATGAATAAATTTCAGATGAGAGTTAAACAATTCCAGTGACTGTTTGGTTTAAACTTTGCAGCATGCTGTGTTGTTTTTCCCACCCAATCACAGACCAACACACAGCTAAAAAATCTTGAGAGTCTGATGAAGGTCTGAGACTGACCCTGAACTGAAGATAAACAGTGACCCACATCCACACAGTTTGGAGTTGTGTTACACCGTCACCTCCAGCAGCAGACTGAAACCTGACTCTGATCAGCTCGTGTTTCTCTGCTAGAGCCCTCTGTGATGAAGATCTGCACTGAGGTTTTTTCTGATTTGTTTGTGTTCACTGGATGGATTCTGAAGGTCTGTTCATTTCATAACTTTGCCTTTTTTTTTTTTACTTCAGCTAAGACTAAACAGAGCATTTCAGCAGACACAAAGTAATCTGTTCATTACTGTGACACACTTTCTGACAGTCATTCGGTTTCCCAGGAAATGACCCTAATTAACTTCATAGAGTTGGAATGTATTATCAGGGGAAATTAGTCAGTTTCAGTCAGATGACACTGTGCAGAAATCTGATCAAATCAAACTGAAGAGAGGAGAATTAAGTTAGAATTATTCTAATTATTAAAACAGAGTAAACATACACATTCAAAAACAGTGGAATTACACTCAAACTCAAATTTTCACTGAGAAACAATGAGTTATTGATTGGTTTAGATATCTACCCTTTTGTGCAGCTTTTAACATTTCTGTTGTTCTGAAATTCATGTGCTGAATTGCTTTAAAAGACTGTTTTATAAAGTTTCATAACTTTTCAGACCAAAGCTTAGTCATTTCTGCCCTTTTTGGTATTTTCTTAGTATCTTTATGTATTTCATGCTGGAACATGAAACTAAGGAATAAGAAATATTGAAGTATGTCAAATATTCAGTTTGTTTGCAGTGTAAATCATCTGACGGTGATAAGACTGAGTTTCTCTCTGCTCAGCTCTGGCTGAAGCTCCAGTAATCAAAAACTGCAAGTAAAATAACATTTTAAAACTGATTTACTCAAAATGTAAGATACAGTGATTAACCCAAATGAAACTGTCATTATTATTATTATCATTATTATTATTATTATTAATAATAATAACAGACACAGTGACGGCTTGAGATTTTCTGATACTTACCTGTACCATAGCTGGCCACTCTAAAATGCCATGAATTGATATCAAGTTTCAATCTTCTGCTTAAAACAAAAATGTATAAGCCCCTGAGAAAATCAGCTGCTCTGATATAACAATTAACATCATTAAAATTCTCTTTGACTGATTATATACTGAATATTAACCTGGATGACATAACAGCTTCCTAATGTGAAACCAAAACACGTTGAGCCCCTTACTGACTGGCTAGTCATAAAATGTGCCATCTCCATGCTTTCAAAATATGAAATCTTTGTTGCATTTTTTTAACATGAAATCTGTAGGTTGTATTTGTTGATTTATGTAGGTTGCTGGTCGTATCAAAGTGTTTATGTTTTTGTGTTGGTTGAATAAACCAACTGAATAAACTTTTTTTTATTTCAGTCTGACTTTGCTCCATAATTTTTCAGCTGTTGTGTATCCAATTCAAACTTATTTCTGTTAATTCCCCCCTTTGCCTTACCTCTTTTAATCTGTTGTTTGGTGCCGTTTTCACTCTGTTTTAATACGTTTGATTGGATTTAAAGGTGCAGTGTTGAGCAGCATTAACCTGTACGGATTTGGTAGAGATGTAATATAACATTTTTGTATCTAATCACCTTATTATAGTATATTTGTTCATTTAGAATGAGCTTTTGATATCTATATGGGAGCAGGCCCCGTGCCTTGGAAGCCACCATCTCGCACAGCTGGCACAGTATGTATGCATGATTGAAATACACATTTTTGTATTGGGTGAGTGGTTAAATGAAATGTACCATTTCCCTCCACAGGGCAGAAGAAGAAAAGACTGATTGTTGTTTCATGTACAAAAGAAACTGTGTACAAGAAGAGAAGAGTGAGCAATACAGAATCTGACCACACTGTGCCTTTAAACTTCACTGCATTTCCCTTTTTTAAGTCTTATCCCTTTCATCGTGTTTACTCGTTTTGGGATGATGCAAAAGTCTGCAGAGACCTTAGAGCATTTTGGGTCACAACAGTTCTTTTTAAATGTGCTTGCAGTTATCATCCTATAAACTTTCATTTAGTCAACACTCTCAATAACTATAAGAGGTCAAATTTTACTCTGAAAATGTTTTTATACAGTTGAACTGGTCCTTTTGATTCAGATTAACACTACAGTCCAGACGCAGTGTCCAAATTTTATTTAATAAATGGTTATCATAAATATCTATCATACAATTAAAGACTGTAAATACAATGACATTTTCAGGTATCTGTTTTATTACATTGAAGTAAACGCAGAAGAATACCAATCACTTTATCCATATGGTAAAAAGAGTCTTCAGAGGGAAAAACCTCTACGATGACGAAGAGAAACCAGAGGAAAGATCTGTTATCTCCACATAAATGATGTGAAGGATTAACTTTCTTTGCATCAAAAGCTATGGTTTCACTTTTTTGCTGTTAGACCCAAAATAACTTACATGACTCATTTCCCTTTGAGTCAGAATGAATAAGTAGCCTGTTACACTTTGTTAACTATCTGAGTCCTTTCTGGCAGTGAGTTGATAAAAAAAAATGCACATTTTAAAATCATTTTAGCACGATTTTGGGAACGTGTGTCACTCCACCAAAGGAAACATGTTGACACTTAAATTCCTGAAGTTATCAAGTCTAAATCCTTTTTAGTTTTTCCAGACATCTACACATAAAAGCCTCTCTTCTTGCAGTGACTTACTTCACTGTAACCGGAGAGATTCCTTCACTATTTCATTGAGAACTGTGTCAGGACCGAGCACGTGAAGTCGAAGAAATAGCACGAGAGGACTTACGAGGTTAGCGAGCTGACGGGTTGCTCCCTCGTCTGTCTCCGTTGAGGGGACAGCATCTCCAAAAACCCCGTAAGTGTCCCGGTCCAACCGAGACCGAGACCCCGTCCGTCTGCGTTCCCCCTCCGTCTCTCTATCCTTCCTTCTCTCTTGCTCTGTCTGGTTCACCCGCCTCCTCCCGTCATCATGAGAGAGAGAGAGAGAGAGAGAGAGAGAGAGAGAGAGAGATAGAGAGAGAGAGAGAGAGAGTAGAAATACCCCCGCTTCTTATTGAAAAGAGAGTTTACCCAGAGAGACTATTTTTAGTCACCGTCCCTTTTGGCTTTAAGTTGATCCTAAAACTTTGTTCTTGTCCTCAGAAACAGTCGGAAACGTCCTCATTAACTCCACTTGTTTCTAACAAATGGATGAGATGTTTGTATTCTCCTTGCAAAGACAGAGCAAATACTGTTAAATATATTCAGCAGTGGCTTGGATGTTGAAGCTTTGCTGGCGAGTAAGCACATTCAAGGTAAAGATGAGAAAAGCATTATGGGAATTTCTGCTGTTCAAATGGTAGCCTCTTTACCGGCAGTAATTATAGGGGAGAGTGGGGTAAGATGAGCCATTTTTCATATTTTGGATCACTACATCAAGGCAATCATAGTTTTGTCTCTAACTAGTGTATCTGCATATATTTCAAGAGCCCTGCAAACCAGCAGAATAAGTGTGAACATAACTGTCTTGATAATATAGAATGCCAAAAAAAGTGGTCTCTTACCCCGTGTATGGGGTAAGTTGACCATACTACCCCCCACCCCCACGAAAAGAAAAATTAAAACATTTCAACAATCTGAACTGAAACTCTAATCCTCTCAGCGGACTCCTTTACTTTCAGACTTGAGCCAATGGCTCAACTTAACCCAGAACTACTATTATGACTTTATTAGTCCTCTAAGCTAAAATGGTGGACTTTTATGCTAGGTTTTTGACCTCATGTTGTAGTTCATAGATACCACAATTGATGTATAAAACAGATTTAAACTGATCTTTTTTGGTCTGAACACAATTCTAATAAAACTTATGACAGACTAAATTCACTTTAAAGAGTGGTTTTTTTTTTTTTTAATAAATCTCTAACCCTGTCACCCATGTGCTTCTAACTTTCACAGACTCCATGAATTGATGCCCATTTTCTAAATATTTGGTCACACTATCAATTTATTTTACCATTTCCAAGTAACAGAGGGTGGTTCAACTTACCCTTTTGCTAAACTTAGCCCACTCTCCCCTACTTGAGGGATAGTGCCATTGTGTGTGATTTTTTTTTCCACATCAGCTAAATTAGGAATGATTTCTTTTTTTAAAGGTCCTACATTTCTTCTATTCTGTCTGAGTTGTGCTCTGCTGTGGGGACTTGTAGAGGGATATGAAGGAGGTTCTAGTTTGTCTGCTGAGGTTTTTTTGCAGCATCAGAGCAGTCCAAATGATTCGAAACATGGTCAGCCAACATAAATAGTTATTTAACAGCCTGCTGGTGTTTGAGAGACCTATAACTGTGATCCGCAATATAAAATGGTTTGTGGTTTATACATAAACTGAAGCTCTCTCTCTTTTTCATAAATAGCTGGTGATTAAAATGTGTCCCAGCAGACTCATTCTCCAAAAATACTCTTTTGCTCCTCTGCAGTGACTAAAAATGAATTCAGCTATACTGAATGGTCACCACGAGATTTCAGTTCATTTTTCACCGATTCCATTTGAAGACTTATCTATAAATGGATGAAATTTAACCCATATAAATTTTAAACTGGTTACTAATCAGTAAAATAGATATGGAAATATCTAAAATTGAATCTATTAATAATCAGTTTTTTAGGTTTACAACTGTAAATAAGTTGCTGTCACCTATTTGCAGTATTTAGTGTCAAAATATTTACAATGTAGAAAGAGTATTATATCTAAACAACAAAGAATTTCCTTTGTATTGAGGAGAGTATGAAAGATAAACAGATCTTAAATTATGCTGTAAACACTGAGAATTATATAATTTTGACTTTCGCACCATCCCTCTGTTGGCTTATAGCATTACCAATCGAACTGCTATGCAGAAAAAATTTAACATTATTACACCTAACAATCTAGTAGCTATGATTTTTAAAAAGAAAGGGTGAAAGTGTGTGATGGTTGGTTGTAATTAGCAGAAAACCTCCAACTTCAAGAAACGTAGCTAATAAAGATGAGCTGGATACTGCATTACCTTGAGTGTCCACTTGGGGCTGGTTCTAAAAGCCCTGGAAGCCACATACACACCCATTAAAAAAAAATCTATCATTACCCTTGCATCACTTTGGATCGTGTAGGGTACTTGGAGGAATATACTTTGTCTAATCATTGTGTGGGAACAAGTTGTTTTGCACACGAGATAACTTTTGAGTATGAGATTGTTGGCGCAACAAACATTTGTAAAGCTGACAAGATTATAACTGGTGGACACAAAATGACAGAAACAACTGAAATATACTGCACATTGAAAATTGCTGATAGAAGACAAATCATTAATATGACAGCAAACCAGAAACAACAAATGATAGATGTCATGAACTCAGAAAATGCTCCAGGTCATAATCACAGTGGAAGAGCTCCAGGTCCGCACTGAAACAATTCATCATTGATGGAACATTTTTTGGGGCCTTTTCTCCATTTGCATAGTATACCAGTGGTTGCATTATTGTATTTTATCTATTTTTTTAGTTTTGCATTAGTCTGTGAGTACGCATCAGTTCTGAAATAACAGCTCGCCTCTCTCAGTGATAATCATGTGGGCTGTTGCAGATGGGTTAGCCTGTCAGACACTGTAAAAATCACAACCAAAAAAACAAAAACAAAATCATTTGAGTAATCTGTCATGTCATATGAGTGCTGTCTCTTATAGCTTCGTGTTTCTGAATAACACAGCAGGAAGTGATACTAAAGTTTATTTCGCTACGTCTCCTTCAGGCTGCAGAGTTCAAATTTAGACTGCTGTTTCAGCCCAAAGGGACATTTTAATGAGTAGATTTTTATTTTAATCTGCTGCAGAAGTTTTCATGTTTTAATGAGTGATCAAAGCATTATACGTCTCTGCTGCTGTTGTGAACACACAGTGTCCCACAAAGTGATCATGAGTCTTGATCACAGATGCCCCTCCCCACACCACCACCATCCATCTGAACACAACAGCCGCTTCATGTTCAGAGGTTGTCATGATGCCAGGCCTGTCTGAATAATCTGTAATCTGCTCTCTCTGTAACTCCTCTGTGCTTCTGTAAGTGTTTGTGAGTGTAATGTATGTATGAGAAAATGTGTGTGTATGTGCGCAGGGGGGTGGGGGGACTTGGAGGTAGGTGTTGTGGGGCGTTTGGCCCATAAAAGACTCCTTTGTGTCCACCAACAGAGACGTAAAACGAGCCTGCAACAGTCACCCTCACAGGGGTGAACACGGCATTGTGGAAGTCCCACACACAGACACAGACACCCTCTTTCTCTGCCCCAGAGAGAACAGCTTTGTGTGCTGCAGGGCTGTGACTGTAGGTGTGTGTAGACGTGATGTGGATAGGTGGTAATGAGGCCAAACAGATATGAAACAAAGATTTACTCGCTAGGATTAAACTTCTTTCATCAGAGTTTATTTAATTAGATCTAAAAATCAACTAAATTCAACTTGGAATGAATTTTTAGGTATCACAGTGAGACCAGGCTTGTTTTCTTCTGAGCTACGAGATAAAATCCTAATTCCAACCCTCCTTAACAAATCAACATTTTTCAGGGTGCCTCCTTGATTCTTGCAATGACTAAGTCGAGGCGTCCCTCACACCAGAATCACTTTCCAGCTCCTCTTGCGGGAGTCTCTTTGACCTTGTTCCAGAGCAGATATGTTATCCCTGCAGTGTGTTTGAGAGTTTCTTCTCTGCTGGATGTGCTTCAAAAACCTCCACACAGCTGCCTCCTTTGGATACGGTTCGGCCTTATCACTCACTTTGAGTGATATCTCTGTGTGCAGATAGTTATAAAGTGTTTTTGGACAGAGCTTGAAGATTTTTGTTCAAGTTTCGTTCATGTAAGGATGCTGCTGTGGTGGACTTGAAGGTCAACAACACAAATACTTTATAACCACAAGAAAAAGTTGAAATGTGTGGCATTCAGTGAATTGTTTTTTTGTTTCTTTGAAATGTTAGTGTACCATATCGCTTTGATTTATTTTTCTAAACTCACAGCAATAAACAATAGTTTCTGTGAAGTCATGTCCACAACTTCAGAAAATATGTAAGCCTAGATTGTGTTTTTGTCAGAACAATAAATGAAACATCCCGGACTTTACTCAAGCCAATGGTCGGTCAGAGAAAGCTTTCTGCCCTGTTTCTGCCCGTTTAACCCCTGACCTGACGCACAAAAACTCACACACTGACACACACTGACACACAGAGACACAGTGAGAGGTGTCTGAAGTCAGAACAATGACTCTCTGTCCACACTGATTTCTAATCTCTCTCTCTCTTTCTCTCCCTCTTTGCTTGTCTCAGCAGCAGAGCGCAGCCAGGAGTCTACTTTCACTGAGTCCAAGATAAAGTTACACCGTTAGGAAGTCAAGTATTCTTATTATTCTAAGTGAATATGTGTCAAAATCAAATATCTTCAGATATAAATAGCTGCTTATTATTGCTGACAACATGAATGAGCTCAAGTAAGAATTCAAGTAAGTGTAAAAATGGGTGTCAGACTTCTTGGACGGGCTATTTGTGCACAAAAAGATGGATTATTTGTCTAATACATGAAAAAGTCCTAAAGCTGACAGCTAGCAGCTCCCACCTGTCACCAAGAGGCCACGCCCCCAATCATGCATAACTTCAAGCCTTGATACACTTTAATAAAGGGAGTTATAAAAAAACAAAAACATCTCCATACAGCTACCATGAATAGAAGATTGAGATACAGAGGCCACAGTAATAACAGTGAATAAGCACAGATATGAGAGCACCCCGAGGAGCTACTCGGTCTTACTATCTCCCAGAGGGAAAAAGGGAGAAACATCCAGTCTTACAATCCAGTCAACAGGAGCAAAGCAATGAGTGCATATCCAAGTTACTTATTGCTAAAAACAGCAACAAAACTGTTTCAAAGTAAGACAAAGTAATATCACTCATGGGCGGTGGTGATAACAGTGTTAAAACCATGTGTTTTGATATTTGCCTCATTTATGTTTGAAGGTGTGTCAGCTGTGAAGCCCAAGAGGAAGAAGAACTGCAAATTTGAAAACAATGAAAGGGTTTTTCTTTTAATTTAATAATGTTTTCTTGAGGGATTATATATCTCACCTGGCCAAGGAAAGCATTAGGATCCCAAAGGAGGAGCTGGAGGAGCTTAAAGTTGGATGTTGGATGGATACAATCACATTTGAGACAATACTTTGAGCCAACTTCTTTTTGTTGTTGTTGAGAGCTGGGTAGTAGGTGAAATTTTACAAGGTCAGTGGGTAGCGGCAGGCCTATCTGCTTGGCATTAGGAGTCTTGCCACCCTGTCTGGAGGCTTTAATATGCATAACCATCTGTTCACATACCCTCATTATCCTTTGCTGATCTGTGCTGTAAAGTTGGAGATTTTACCATGGGGTTCCATGGGGATTCACTCACCTTATGAGACAGCCTCTGGTGGAGAAACTGCAGTTTGGTGGTGCTGCTGCTGCATCAGGGGAATTTATGAATAATATAACAAGTTCCACTTTAAATCAAAAACTTTTAGCAACTTTCAAAAGTTTTCTCTTTAACCTGATTTATTATCCATAGTTTTAGACTCCAATACAGCATTATTATGTCATCCTAGACTCCTACAAAAATACCAAACTTCCACTAAAGACAAATTTATGAATCAACATTTTAACTCTGTTTGGTCTCAAAAATACAAACTGTCCATAAACAGTCCTGCTGCACACAAAGATACACTTCTACTTCTTTTCTGAGATGTCTCTCTCTCTTCTCTTCTGTCAGAATGATTTTCCACTTTTCTTCATTTTCCTCTACCTCATCAGACACTATACACCACACACACACACACACACACACATACCAAATGGCAGCAGCGTCATGTAGGAGGATAAATCAGCACTCCTCAGCAGAAAGGTCAGCAGAGTCAAGACACCCCGATTAATTTCTTTTTTCTCAACTCTCGGAGAAACAGATTTATTATGAACTCCTCTCGTCCTCAGAGGGACACCAAAACCCATCACGTGATTCAGTCCTCCACAAACTCTACTGCAGAACCTGAGGCCTGTACTACGAAGCTGGATTTGGTCTTAGCGAGATAACTTCTGGATAACTTCTGGGTTTTCTGTACTACGAAGGTGGATCTCTTTTTATCCGGGTCCGTTGCCCCGGTAACTTACGCGGAACGCCAAACCTGCTCCGGAGCAGGTTATGTTTCAGGATAAGATCTCAGCAGGAATAGAAGACCGCCCGATGACCAATCGGATCTCTTGGAAAATGGCTTGCCCACTTTTGCCGGATCCCGGGGACATCGTTGCACGGATAGTGAGAGGAGCGCTTCGCCGAGAGCGTTATATTCGTGATCGTTCAAACCCCTTTGATTTACCTGATGACGTTCTCTCTCAATATTCAGGTTGCATGAAGTCTAAGCAATACACTAATATTTGCCCAGCTCCAGGTTCCAATTTCATGCGGCATTTCAGTCATCATTCAGAATTTATTGAAGCAGATTAGAAAACTCTTAACCCCAAATGTGTCTGCAGATGACATGTGACCGTCAGATGATGAAGAAAAAAAGGCAGTGTGAGGAAATCACTGTTTACGCGTTGAAATGTGTACAAATAAAATCTTCCAATAAACTTACAAACTACTTTAAAGAATGTTTTTAGATTTATTTTTATTTGCTCCCACGTACTCTTTTCCCCACTGCTGTTGTATCTGAAATAATGAGGTCTATGATGGAGGTGATCACACACGCTGCATGACAACATATAAGGGGGGCATAAATTTATGAACGCACAAATGTAATTTACAAAAACGGTGATTTTTTTTTTTTTGCCAGCAGTCCCTCCGGTTTTTAGCGGCTGCGGCTGTCTCACTGTTTAAATTAAGCTCTGTTCTTCAGCTGTGAAAAATGACGTGCAGCCTTCTCCATTGTGGAGATTGGTCCGGTGGCACTGACCCCACCCTCTTTACGTGTGCGCGCACAGATCTGAAGTGGATTCAGTTTTCGAGTTGATAACCGGCTTCGTAGTACAGCTGATCGGGATCGCGGAGATCCGGTGAAGTTGAGCGAGTTGTCGCAGAGTTACCCTGGATGTATTAATCCAGCTTCGTAGTACAGGCCTCAGGGCTGCTCTTGGAGGTGGATCAAGAACTAAAGCATAGACCCAGTTAAAGTTTCTGAATTACCACAGGATCCCATACCCACCACCAAACACTCCATCTACTAAACAAATAACACACATTTTAAAAGTGTGTTCAGTTTGCCTCAACCTATAGAGCTGATAGCAATCAATCCAACAACAACTAACTTTCTGTGTTACTTCAATCACACTGATTGATTGATATGCACTGACGCCCATCTCCCACCTGGACAAAAATGGGTGTGAAACTTATATTAAGGACATTTGGACTCAACAGAGACCCCATAGACACAATGATCATCATTTCATGACATTTGACATGTACCTGATTTAAAGGTGAGGCACTTCACCAAGCGAACCCCAATACTCAGGTTTGATTGATAAAGGAGGTGAACCTCAATAAACTACAGGTACAGTCAGGTTGGTGGTTTGGATGAAGGTGAGGAGACTTTTTTTGTATAGCTATGCCTTTGATAAACCAGAGGACTTTGAAAAAGCTTTCTTGAGACTTTCGTAGGACTAACATTTGATACCCTCCCAGTGTTTTGTGCATGTGTAACTACGGCTTCTGTCAAGCTGCTTTTTTATTTCAAGTTTATTTAAGGGCTTTATGGCTCTCCGGGAGGGAGAATGACATGAGTTGAAAGGTTTTCTCTTTACTCAATGAACGGTTTGTTTGAATTTTGGCGCTCCCTGTGGACAAAGCAGTTTTAGCGCATCTTGTCCATCATGAGTTCAGGTCGTGAAACAAAATTCTTATCCTGCTGACTTTTGGGAAATGTCCTCTGTGTTGGGGTTAGACCCCCTGAGGTTAGAGTTTGGGTGGTATTTATTGGAGCAATTCAGCAAGAAGGCTTAGACCTGGAGGGTTCAAACCACACGGAAGTGCAACAGGAAGAAAGAAAGACAGAAAGAAAGAAAGAAAGAAAGAAAGAAAGAAAGAAAGAAAGAAAGAAAGAAGTCTCAGATGAACTTTATGAAGTGTAAAACATGGATCCAAGTTTAACTAGGAGTGATGCTTGGACGTGGTTTCTGACCCTGAGGTAGACAAGGGTCTCTTTAAACCGTCTTGCTGAAAGGCACAGAGTTGTAAATCTCAGGAACAAGCTCATGAAACAGTCACATAAAAAGTCAACGAGGTGGTGAGCGGAGAAACAGTAGCTGTGAGAGGAAGGAGGAGGAGGAGTGATGGTGACCCCGGCTCCCCCCTTCTCTCCTGTCAGTCAGCTCCACCTCAGCTTTCCCCCCGAAAAAACAATCAAGTTTTTATGAAGCCGAGGTCGACTGTCATTTCACAGAGAGAAACCTGAGACGTGATCTTACACTGCACACGCACACACACACACACACATACACACACACACACACACACACACACACAGCAAGACTGAAAAGTGTTGCTTTTTCACAAAATGTAATCGATTGTTTCTCTGCAATAAAGAAAGCATATATAGTAGCTCCTTTTTTGACTCAACTATGTGACACTTCATACTCTCAGAGCTAAAACTTACTCACAGGATCCATTTTGCTGTTTTCACATTACACGATTATCTTCAGTGGAGGAAGTTTTTATATGCTGAAATTTCAAGCCATTATTAGCAGTGTATTGAACATTGTATTGTAGCCTAAAGACCACATCAGGATGAGACGTGACCTGCATCATTTAGAAATCAAACAGAAAGTTTCTCTCCACAATAATTTTCATGAAGAAAAACCCAGAGAGATGCATTAGATTGTTAAGCAGCTAGAGCAAAGGTACTGCAGTTTGTTGAAGTAAATCACAGGAAGTGATTCTTTTCTGTTTTAGCATCTTAACAGTCGAGGTACATCCACACCCGGATACTTTGGAGGAGTTGTTTACCTCCTTGTCTCTGGTCATTTGTATTTATGTGCCCACAGTCACTCTGCTGAAGAACAAAACAAGTGAGCTGAGATCGTCTCAAAGAGCCTTTGCTTACTTCCAATAAAGTCTTAGAGCAACGAGCACACAATCAACCCAGCAACCACAACAAACAGCTTCCTGACTCATTACATTCCAGTGGCACTAAGGTTGTTAGCACAAGAGTAGCTAAGTTCACTCACCATTTCCAGCCTGTCAACACCAGCAGAAGAGCCGGTGTTTGGTAAAGCAACATCACAGGACTTTTAAACATTTGCTGGTTATATAACTGGTTGTGTGTGACCCACAAGTGTGTATACCACTGTGTTTTTGTGAATGGTGTTTTGCATAACCTTCGGGCTTTTAACAGCCAATTTATGATAGAGCTAGAGACTAATTTGGATATAACTTTTTTTTTACTGCAGCAAATGTGATGAATTTTTTTTTCTAAGCTTAATTTGAAATTTTATTTGAAAACATGAATTCAAAATTTTCACCAAGTCAATAATAAAGCCAGGACAGAAAAACGTCCTCTAAAGTCCCTCGTGGCTGTTGAAAGCCACTTGTTTTGTCGGCTGTAAAATCATATTGGATTAATATTTTTTTCTGATTTTTTTTCACAAATCTCTTATTTTACTTCTGCCCTGTTCGAAACTAGCAAATGTTTCATTAAAAACAGTTTTTTTAACCCTTTAAGTGCCAATTTAAGACAAAAAGTCACAAATTTAGCAAAAATTGAGGGAAAATGACCCATTTTTTTAATAAAACATGATCAGAAACTGGTAATCTCTTGCAGGGTATTAAAGTCTTGAATATGTCAGAGATTAGTAATATAATTTACTTATATGCATTTTCAGTTTTTCTGTAGCATCAGATTTAATGAAAAACTGCGTTTGGCGCCTCCCAGTGGCCAAAACTACTTTGTCTGCTGTAAAATCATATTGGATTGATATTTTTTTCAGATTTTTTTTCATACATTTCTTATTTTACTTCTGCCCTGTTCAAAACTAGCAAATGTTTCATTGAAAATAAAAATTTTAACCCTTTAAGGGCCAATTTAAGACATAAAGTCACTAAAAAAGCAAAAAAAAATGGAAGGAAAAATTTAAGGAAAATGACCCATTTTTTAAATAAAACATGATCAGAAACTGGTAATCTCTTGCAGGGTATTAAAGTCTTGAATATGTCAGAGATTAGTGATATAATTGAATTCAATGCATTTTAAGTTTTTCTGTAGCATCAGATTTGATGAAAGACTGCCTTTGGCGCCTCCCAGTGGCCAAAACCACTATTTCTGCTGTAAAATCATATTGGATTAATATTTTTTTCAGATTTTTTTTCATACATTTCTTATTTTAATTCTGCCCTGTTCAAAACTAGCAAATGTTTCATTGAAAATAAAAATTTTAACCCTTTAAGGACCAATTTAAGACATAAAGTCACTTAAAAAGCAAATAAAATGGAAGGAAAATGAAGGAAAATGACCCATTTTTTTAATAAAACATGATCAGAAACTGGTAATCTCTTGCAGGGTATTAAAGTCTTGAATATGTCAGAGATTAGTAATATAATTTACTTATATGCATTTTCAGTTTTTCTGTAGCATCAGATTTAATGAAAAACTGCGTTTGGCGCCTCCCAGTGGCCAAAACCACTATTTCTGCTGTAAAATCATATTGGATTAATATTTTTTTCAGATTTTTTTTTATACATTTCTTATTTTACTTCTGCCCTGTTCAAAACTAGCAAATGTTTCTTTGAAAATAAAAATTTTAACCCTTTAAGGGCCAATTTAAGACATAAAGTCTCTTATGAAGCAAAGAGGTCATTTTCCTTCCATTTTCCTTCCATTTTTTTGCTTCATAAGAGACTTTATGTCTTAAATTGGCTGTTAAAGGGTTAAAATTTTTATTTTTAATGAAACATTTGATAGTTTTGAACAGGGCAGAATTAAAATAAGAAATGTATGAAAAAAAATCTGAAAAAAATATTAATCCAATATGATTTTACAGCAGACAAAGTAGCTTTGGCCACTCGGAGGCGCCAAAGGCAGTTTTTCATTAAATCTGATGCTACAGAAAAACTGAAAATGCATATAAGTAAATTATATTACTAATCTCTGACATATTCAAGACTTTAATACCCTGCAAGAGATTACCAGTTTCTGATCATGTTTTATTTAAAAAATGGGTCATTTTCCTTCTTTTTCCTTCCATTTTTTTGCTTTTTAAGTGACTTTATGTCTTAAATTGGCTCTTAAAGGGTTAAAATTTTTATTTTCAATGAAACATTTGCTAGTTTTGAACAGGGCAGAAGTAAAATAAGAAATGTATAAAAAAAAATCTGAAAAAAATATTAATCCAATATGATTTTACAGCAGAAATAGTGGTTTTGGCCACTGGGAGGCGCCAAAGGCAGTTTTCATTAAATCTGATGCTACAGAAAAACTGAAAATGCATATAAGTAAATTATATTACTAATCTCTGACATATTCAAGACTTTAATATCCTGCAAGAGATTACCAGTTTCTGATCATGTCTTATAAAAAAAATGGGTCATTTTCCTTCAATTTTTGCTAAATTTGTGACTTTTTGTCTTAAATTGGCACTTAAAGGGTTAAAAAAAATTGTTTTCAATGAAACATTTGCTAGTTTCGAACAGGGCAGAAGTAAAATAAGAAATTTGTGAAAAAAAATCTGAAAAAAATATTAATCCAATATGATTTTACAGCCGACAGAAAAAGTGGCTTTTAACAGCCACGAGGGACTTTAGAGGGAGGAAAATCTAAAGGTCCCGGAAGGGTTAATCTGGTCTGTAAATGAGCAACCTAACTTTTCACAAAATCTTCTTCCTGTTTCATATTTCCAGACAGCAGCAATGATCCATCTCTCTTTTTGTTTTCATCTTAGTTGATTGGCTGACAATGATGATTATATGTTACTTTAAAAAAGTGCATTGCCTTTAAACAATGCACAACAGAACCATTCCCAACTGAACATATACTGAACTATAACTTTTTGGCACTTACACATGTTATAATAATAATAATACATCAGATTTCATATAGTGCTTTATCAGAGACCCTCTAAATGTTTTACATTCGATACATCACTCAATCGCTCACACAACCACACCTTGGTGGTGGTAAACTACCTTAGTAGTCACAGCTGCCCTGGGGCAGACTGACAGAAACATGGCTGCCAGTTTGCTCCGAACACCACACAACACTCACAATCATACACCAGTGGAGAACACACTCTGGGAGCAAGGTGGGTTAAGTGTCTTGCCCAAGGACACAGCAAACAGTCTCAGGATAGGGGGAATTGAACCGCAGACCTTCCAACCGTTATCGGATGACCGCTCTACCTCCTGAGCTACTGTCGCCCTGTTGTTTCCTTCTATCTAGATCTAGATTTTTGCTTGTGTTGTTCTTGCTCTTAAATGTGCTTCACTTTGAACAAAAGCCAGCGCTAAATGACTTTGTAACAGTGCCCTCCGTTCTCTTTCCAGTCCCAAAAATAGATGGCTGTACAACAAGAGTCTGGTTCTGCTCCAGGTTTCTGTCTGTTAAAAGGGAGTTTTTTTGGCTTGTCACTGGTAACTTGCGAAATTTATTATAGAACTGAGTCTTGTTTTGCATTTGGTCCCTGTGAATAACAAAACACAAAGGCATGGAGTGAATGACTGATTAATTGATTGATGATTTACCATATACTGTATAAAACATGCTTGTGGTTGCCTTGTTAAAAAATGCTGACACAACCTGACCGTTGGTTGACCTCTTAGCCTTGAGAATATGTGCGTGTGTGTGTGTGTAGTTAACCAGGCTTTCGCAGCCAGCCTCAGTTGAACCCTCGAGGAACTGCTGTTTTTAGCACTCCTACATTGCCTTCATTTGTCAAAACTGGAGGTTGCTGCTGGGATCACACAGATGTTTGGATGGCAGCCTCACCTCTCTCACACGGAATCAAATACAAACATGTCAGTTCTGCTCTAAGCTGGACTATTTGACCACATTCTGGCACCTCCATGAGAAATAACCACACAGAGAGATGGTCTTTGCTCTCCAAAGTAACATATTTCTATGTGAACACAGTGATTGTGAAACATTAAAAGGAATAACTGAGAGTGAGGGTGCAAACCGGCTTGAAGGTTGTTGTTGCAACTCATTTTGTAGCTGTGCAAATGTTTGAAAGCTGATGGAAAATTCAATTGTAAAATTTTACCATATACAACCTAATACCAATTTATACACAGTCCCTCAAGCCTCATCAAGGTGATTTATTTTATATTCAAGTTATTCAACCGATAAATAGTCATTTGGGAACTTTTCATGCATGCTTTCTCTTGCATAGGCTGAAAAACCAGGCACAAACATTCACTTTTGGCTCCAACCACGTAGCATTTATGAACATATATACTCTCTTAGCTGTCCTACATAAAGAACAAAATACTATATATGAGGAGTCAGTGCCACAGTTATATATGAACAGTGCACGTGAAAGAAATGTATACTGGTTTTTAGTTTTACCGAAACCGTTTTGTAATGAAAGTTTACACAACTTAACCTTTCTTTTTCCTATGAACTTGCAACCATTTGCCTATGCGGCCTTCTTGCGCACGTGCATGCTGTGTTAGGTCCTGCTCACATCTATAGCCTACTCCATGCTTATGCAGTGCAGGCCAGCCAAACAACGCTATCCGTGAACAAAGCTTGGAGCAGAACCAGTTGGATTAGACCTGTGAAATCTGATCTAGGATCAATTACGTGTCATCTCATGGTTACAAAGACGTAAATATATACGGCATCCTACTGGAGTTAAAGTGAGGTGTTCAGCCACTGCAGGACAGTTGGCAATCCTGGCTGGCACACTTGCTAATGCTGCTGTAGGGTCATTTTTCAGGTAGTAGTTTTCTTATAGTTTGAGAGGCATGTTGATACATTTGGCCTCCTCTATTCTCACACTCTCTCTTTTAGTCTGAGGTATTTTAGATTGTGCAGGGGCAGATCTGGAGTGTCGGTAAATTCTCCTTTTAACTTGTTAAGCTGTAAAGCTGTGATTTCTCAGGCTGTTTTTCTGCCTCTGTTTTGTGTGGGCGTACTTTAACAGCAAAGCAGCATCTGTCTGCATCAGGCTCGCTGAGCACACTTATCAACAAATCAATAAAGCTTTTTCAAACTCCAGTTGAGTCCAGTTTTCCACCAATCAATTCTCTGGCCTGAGCTGACTCTGATGCTCACAGATACAGGAGCCATTAGTTTAGCTAATGAGAAATATACAAAAAGGGTTTGCATGAAAGCGAACAAAAAACAACATGAGGGGATGTATTTGTTTGATACAGATTATTCAATATAGTTTCTGAATTGTTGATTTAACAGTGTGTAAAATACCAATCCTGAGCATGTCACACATTTTGTAAACTTCAATCAAACCTTAAGAGCCCACACATATTCACTGGATAT